AGGGGCTTGTTATGAATAACAATACACTCATTTAAACTTTATGGCTTTAAAACATTGTCAAGAACTGAGGACAAGAGACCAAATGTTATAACAAAAGATGTTCCCACTGCTCTCATCACTCAGAAAATTTCAAGAGTTTTGGGAGATTTTATCTAGTTACCAAGGACATTCGGACAATCAAAATATATTTCCCATAAATCACAATATCACAGAGGATGTATTTGCCTTAGCGATGAGACCCACATTTCTAGAAGAAAGAAATGGTGTGTGATTTACTCTTAATTCCATCACAGTGTCTTGTATCCTGCCTCACAGAAAGTAGCGGCTCAACAATTACTTAGTGAATTGGATTTCTACCAAAAAAATTAGAACCGACTTTTGCAATTGTTTCTGGGAGTTGATAATAGAATAAAAAGTAAAGAGTTTTGATTAATATTAACTGAAAAAATCTCTTGGTAATATAAGAAATTTTGGTTAGAAGCCTATGGCAAATTTAAGCCATCAATCAATAGATAAGCCCATAATCGAATGGCAGCTGGTTTTCTAGCTCTGTGATCTGTGTACTGAAAGCCTTTGGACAACTTCATACGGATGATACAGGCTGAAATATAATCTGTATTCAATATTATTAATACCTGCTCCATGATGATATATGCCAGGATCTGAATAGAAAGGCAAAAGTCATCACCAGCATCCTATAATGAAATTATTGAATGGAGAAGTTCACAGAATATAATCAGGTTTGGCTTAATAATCTAAGGCACTAATTAAAGTTTAAAGAATATACATGTGTAAGTCTAAATACAATAGTGATATGTGAGGCAATAAAAATAAAAGTTTATACAACACAATTAAAGTAACTGAAAAAGAACTCCCATAATTTTAAAATAGAAATTTAGGAAATCAAACAAGCACAAAAGATTGATGACTGAATAAGAAGATGCATAATGACTTGGACCTGAGAAGCTAATCCTGCTCCTTGAAGAGGAAGTAATACAGAATTTTATGTTCAATTGTGTAATTACTAGCTTTCCTAAATTTGAAAAAAAAAAAAAAAAAAGCATTGAAAATAGACAAAGATCCCTCTCTCTCTTTTTTTTTTCTTTCTCTCTCAATACAAATATGATGCTAAAAATGACCAATTACCAGTTCTTTACGCATTTACTGAGAGCCTTGGTTCACTCATATTTTCCCACTATGCTCTCACAGGTTGGTGAGGAGGGGGTCCTCAGTAGCCTACCTCATACTATGCTGAAGTAACCAAGACATTCTAAAGCAACATTCACACACTTTTATGTTGCCACTTCCTTTAGCTATTGCTAATCTGTCTTCCTTCCAGCAAAGTTTTGTTCTGGGGCCAGTATGAACTTAAGGCATCTCTATTAGGCTTACAACCATCACTGTTATGAAAATTAGAGGAGAAAGAACTCTCTGTGTTTTCCAAAATCTCTGTGACCTCTATCCACATTCACCCAAATCTTATCAGGTTTCAATCTCCCAGAGAGAACCAAAGAGCAGGTCCACACTACTATCTAGCTCTACTCTTGTCTTCACCAAACTTCTCCAAACATCCTCTACCCAAACTAGAAAGATGTTCTCCTTAATGTGATGGAAAATTGCAATTTGGTAATATACAGTATCTTTTGTACTACTTGACTTCTTTAAAAAACTCCCTACCCGAAGTCTTTCAAACACTGCTTTTGCTATTTGAAAGAGTTTATTTCTTCCCTTTTTAAAAAAATATTGCCCTGTGACAAATATTTTTACAAATTGCGACTGAATAAAGTGGAGTGTTAAAAATATTTTTTATAAATTGAGGAAGCTGGCCAACATAAAAATGAGAAGAATCAAATTATTATTATGTATTTAAAATCATAAAAATGAGTAAAAATTTACATTCACAAAAATATGCACACAGATGTTTATAGCAGCCTTATTTATAGCTGCCACATTTGGAAGCAACGAAGATGTCCTTCGGTAGGTGAATGAATAAGTAAACTGCGGTACATCCACACAATGAAAAATTATATAGCACTAAAAAGAAATGAGCTATCAAGCCATGAAAAGACATGGCTTAAAAAACTTAAATTCATATTAGTAAGTGACAGAATCTAATACAAAATGGTAATATACTATATGATTACAACTGTATGACATTCTGTAAAAGACAAAACAACGGATACTGTAAAAAGATCAATGGTTGCCAGGGATGGGATCAGCAGGGAGGGATGAATTACCAGAACACAGAGGATTTTTAGTGCAATGAAACTATTCTATATGATATAATAATGGTGGATACATAGCATTATACTTTTATTCAAATCCATAGAATGTACAACACCAAGAGTGAAGTATGATGTGAACTATGGACTTTGTGTGGTTATAACATGTCAATGTAGCTTCACCAATTGTAACAAATGTGCCACTCCAGTGAGGAATATCAATAATGAGGAAAGCTATGCATGTGTGAGGACAGAGGGTCTAAAGGGAACCTTTGTGTCATCCTCTCAATTTTGCTATAAACCTAAAACTGCTCTAAAAGATAGTCTTTAAATCATACATAAAATTAACAAATATTTAATTATATTTTTACATTACACATTTGATTTATGCAAACAATTTACAAAACAGAAATTGATCTTTTTAATATCAATGAATCAAATTGAAAATATTTGAATACTAGAATAAATCAACGAGGAAGATCTTGTGAGTTATCAAAGAAATATTTTACAAATATTTGTGAATTAATGATTTTTGTTGTTTTACTTTTGCAGAATATATCTCAAAATTTTGAGTTTTTCTTAAATAGAGTTAAAGATAAAACTTCTTTAGTTTATCTCTGAGACAAATAATCTTAGGTTGATATAAATATCTGAAAAAAGAAGAAAACAAAATCTTAAACATTTTACTACTTAAAATATGGCACATGTATTTTAAAGTAAATGGAATACACGTGTGGGTCAAAGAATCTATTAACTTATGATCTATTAATATAATTCAACTAAGCAGTAGATTAAACATAAAATACCATGTTCTTTCACATGGATTTTTGAAAGGCCAATAGATAAAACTGAGGATTAATTTCTCATTTCAAACAAACAAATAAATAAGCAAATAAGTGTAAAGTGGCAATAGATACCTCTTTAATGTGATGTAGAATCAAAATCAGCATTATATGTTCTTAGAAAATATATTAAAAGTACTATCTTTTTTTAAAAAGTTGTATATCATGATATTTATTTAATACTGTTTAAAAAGTTTTGCTAAGTTTTAGAAAGTTTTGACCAGGTTAATGAAATAAGAAAAAAAAAAGTATAAAAGATCAATATAGAAAAGAGTGAAGTGTTTTAAATATGTCATATGATAATTCCCTTAAAAGTACAATAAAATTACCTAAAAGTGTATTATTTAATATAAAAGTACCTGGATAGAGAAAACAACAGGATGGGTAATTATTTTATGTTTAATTGATTAAAATAATTAATTTACAATGAAAATTTTTTGAAGCATGAAATTCTCAGGAATTAATTCAATGATGAATATGTGACCTAAGGAAATAAAATGTTAACCTTAGATAAATGGCTTTACTGAAAATATTTTGAAAATAGGAAAAGAGACTGGAACGTTGTGTAAGAAGATGAAATATTTCACAAATATTCATTCTTCTCTAAGTAAATTTGTTAATGGAAATAAGAAATTCTCAATCAAAATTTCAGCAGGCTCTTTTAAATAAAATTATTCCAAAATAAACTTTAAAACAAAATAAGCAATAATATCAAATAATTCTCTTAATAGAGTAAAACAATGGTAAATAAAAGTGGGCAGCAGTAATAATAATAATTATTATATATGACAATGTATAAATAAATATTTTTTTAATTAGCTTGGAATTTACAGGAAAAAAAAATAGACATCAAGCAGTAGGCTTTGGTATATCAGTTAGCAATTCATCTATAAAGACATCTTGGTTGGGGAAACACATCCTCCTGAAACATACCCATACTTTGATATAGTTTAAGTATATGCTGAAGGTGACATTTCAAAGCAGTGAAGAAAAACTGGCTTCCTCACCAAATAGTATAGAGAGAAACATGATTTATAGAAACTGTTGCTTTTTTTTAGTTTATATGTATAATAGCAAGAATATTCATAAGAGATCTGGTTTGTTTAAAATAATATTTTCATTGCAAAAGTCATTTGTAATAATTTTCAATGAAAAGAAAAGTGGTAAAGAAAAATAATATCTCATATCCTTTCCAGAGACAAACACCATTAATGGTTTCAGAGTACTTCCTCCAAGTCACATTGTAAACACAACTCTTACTGTCTACATCTTACTTTATACCCGTTATAACTGTTGCATATTTTAGGAAACATTACTTTCATTTCCCATTTTATCACAAATGCTTAGTACCTCTATTGACAACTAAGTAAGATTCCGTTGTATTGATTCTTGATTATTTTATTTAAAAAAACTGAGCTATTTGAATTTTTTTTTTTTATTTATCATCTTTATAAAAAATAATCTGGGAAAAACTGTGCACATAGGCTTTTTTTTTTGGTATAGTGCAGGCTTTTACTCTAGTCTCTCTGTAGCCGAACGTAGGTATACTTTATTGTTTTTTTGGCTTTAATTTGGCCATATTCTCTCAGAGGTTTGCATCAAAGATAAATATAAAGATGTTGATGTTTTTTATTTACCTCTCCTCTAAATTACTGTTTTATTTAGTATTAAAAAGGTTCAGAAAGGAAGTGAATAACGTTGTAAACTCTTAAAAGGCAATCGATTATAGTTATTTTTATGTGGGCTAATCAGTATCCTTTTAAATGTGTAATCGAATGGCATCTATAATTAGTTGAGCCACTTGGCTCATGTATATAATTGAATCTACTGAAATTCACTTGCTTACATTCTGTTCGTTTCTTGAGAGCTCATAAGGTTTTTGTTTGTTTGTTTTTTGTTCCCCCCCCCCCCCCCCCCCCCGCCACTCCTCGTAAAGCTTAGTTTTGGAGGAATTCCAGTACCAGGAAAACCTGGGACATTTTTAAAGAAAAACTTTCACGGATGTATGGAAAACCTTTACTACAATGGAATAAACATAATTGACCTGGCTAAAAGACGAAAGCATCAGATTTATATTGTGGTAAGTCGACATCTTTACAGCTTGACGGTTTCTTACTTTACCCATCCTACCCCTGGTACCTCTTCATAATATGTTTATACTATACTTTTGGAGGTCCTATCAGCCTCTCAGATGAATTGGAAAGTGAGAAGAAGCACAGGGTCTGGGTCAGTGTGAATTGCATTAAAGGTACCTAGAGAAGCCCATATTCCGGGCTGTGAATTGTGAGGCAGCTGTGGGTAAGGTTCGCAGTCTGCACTGTGCTGACATGACTCTATTACCTCTGGGAAATGTAACAAGAGAATCACAGATTATATTAAATTCTATAGCATGGGAATTTTGAATTTGTATTCTTGTTGTTGATATTTAAAATAGGGCATTTTGATTAAGAGGTTAAATGCTTGACGTTTTTGAGATTTCCTGTGCAGCATTTATCATGCTGGCAAATTAAATATTTTTTAATTAATTAATATTTGTCTCCCCCAATAGACCATGTGTTTCATAAAGAACAGGACTGTGTTTTAATTTGTCACTAGTGCATTTATATTACCTAGCAGACTGCCTTGCACATAATTGATGCTCAATAATGCTGTTGATATATCTAACTATAATTGTCTATTTTCCTTCCAGTTCTATCAGTTTTTGCTTTCTATATTTTACAGCTCTATTGTTTGATATATAATCAGTGAAGTTTGTTATGTCTTCCCCATGGATTGGCTATTTTATCAACATATAATGTTCTCTATGATAACTTTCCTGTGAAATTTACTTCAGCTGAAATTAAGATAACCATTTTTGCTTTCTTTTGATTAATGCTTGCATGATATATCTTTTTTTCATTCTTTTTCCTTTAACCTTTCTATATCATTATATTTGAAGGGAGTTTCTTATAGACAATAAATAGTATAGTTATTTTTAAAAATTCAGTATGTCAATTTCTGTCTTTTAATTGGTGTATTTATCATTTACATTTAAATTTAAAGTTATCAATGTGTTAGGGCTCAAATGCATGTGTGGTGTTTATTTTTCTGTTTTCTGTTTTTCATTATTCTTTTTTTCCTCCACATTCTTGTATGTTTTTTTAATGATTTGTAAATTTCTATGATGATATATCTAGTGTTTGAATGTGCACAGCTTTAGTCAGTGGTTTATTTAGGTATTATGTTACATACACACGACATCACAGTTTAGTGGTATTTTGCCAATTTTAGTGAAGTATAGAAACTGTACCTCTTTTATGTTCCTTTACATTTTTCTGTTTATTATATAATTATCTTAATTATTATTCCTCTCCATGTATTTATAATTATATTAGTGTTTTTCTTGCAATTGTCAAATGTAATTTAGTAAACACAAGAGAAGGAAAGTATATTGTATCTACTCATACTTTCATTTATTGTTCTTTTCTCTTCTTTCCTTCCTAATTTTCTTGCATACCTTCTTGCATTATTTCCTTTATGTTTAAAGAACTTCCTATAGTCGTTCTTTTTAGGTGTGTATCGGTGACAAATTCTCTTATTTTTCCTTCATCTTATAATGTCTTGATAACTCTTTATTCTTGAAAGATATGTCCCCTGAACATAAGATTCTGGATTGGCAGTTTTCCTTCAGCACTTGAAAAATGTTGGGCCATGTTTTCCGGCCTCAGTGGTTTCTAGTGACAAATCCACTGCTACTTAAAAATATTTCCCATATAGATAAAATGTTATTTCTCTCACTGCTTTTAAGATCTTATCTTTGTCTTTAGTATTCAGACATTTAACTATATGGTTTGCATTTCCTTGTGTTTATCCTGTTTGGCTTTCAATTAGTTTCTTGAATGTGTGTGCTTATTTCTTTCACCAAAATTGAGGATTCAGCCATGTAATTGAGCATTTTTTAGACCTTCACTCTTTCTCATTTTCTTTCTGAATTCCACAGATATGAATACTAGATATTTTATTATAATTCTATAGATCCCTGATCCATTTTTTTCCTCCTTTGTCTATTTTGCCTGTTTTTTTTTTAAATTGGGTACTTTCTATTTTAGTTTCAAGTACATTAATTTTTTTCTTTTTTCCTTCATTCTGTTACTATATCCAGTCATTCTTTTTTAAGTCTGATATTGTATTTTTCAGTTCTAAAAAATTATTTGGTTCTTCTTTACATCTTCTATTTCTTTGCTTTAACTTTATTTTTTATTGAGACTTTCTGTTTCCTTGTCTCAGATGTATAATTATTCCTTGAAGGTGTTTTGTTATAATGGATACTTAAAAATATCTGTCCGTTTATTCTAATATCTGTTTCATCTCAGTGTTGGCATTCATTGATTGCCCCTTTTTATTCAACTTGAGATCTTCCTGTTCCTTAGTATAAGAGGACTTTATTTTTTTTTTTATTGTAACCTGGACATTTTAGATATCATGTTATAATGAATCTTATTTAAACCTTGTGTCTTATCTGTCTTGTTCTGACATTGTTCCAATAGGGAAAAAGGAATATTTGCCTCAATATTGTTAGGTGGGGGTAGAATCCAGGTTTCTCATTCAGCTTCCATTGGTACCCAAGGGTAGAGAGCTTCTCATTACTATTAGAACTAGGTATTAGGCTTCCCACTAGTTCTTCATAATTCCTCCCTTGCTGGGATAGGTAAGAAGGCCTCATTCCTGTTCCCCATGTGACCTCCACTGACATCAGAATGTTTGTGTGGTGGTACCCTCATTACCTATGGACTGCAATAAAAATTCTGACTCTCCACTAAGTCATCTCTGACACCGTACCTTCAGAATATGCGTGGGGTTCTTCATTAATATTGAGTAGGGGTAGAAATTGAGGCTCTACTAGACATGTGGTTACCATTGATACTATAGGGAGTGGCTTCTTAATTTCTGACAAGAATTAAAGTCAAGAATCCCTACTTAGTCTTCTCTGCCACCATCCTGACTAAGGGAGTCTAGGCATCTAGTTATAGCGTTGCTGGGTAGCAGTGGGACCATAGTTTTTTCTACTAATACTTTGCTGACATAGAGCAGTTATTGTCTAAAGGTGTTCTGACTTACTAAGCTGCCCCTTTCCTGGTCTTCCGAATAGAGACTGCAAGATTCTAATGGGGAATTTCTTCTTTGTCTGCATCATTTGATCTCTGAGTTTCTGGCTTCTTCAGCAACAAATCCAGGATATATAAGGCAAAAAGAAAATCTAGGGAACTCACCACTGTTATTCCATAGATCTCAAAATCCTTATATATACTCGCTTTCTTCTCTCCATCATTCAGAATCTTCTTAGGTTTGTTTTATACATAATGTCCAGGGATTTTTAGTTGTACTTAGTGGTAGAAATAAGGAAACCCACACTACATCATCTCCCCAGAAGCAGAAGTCCCTTAAACTGACATTCTCTTACAACCCTGACAAGAGTAGCTCCTGCCCTCCTTCACCCTCTCCACCTCCCATCAATGACAAACAAAGCCTGATTCTCTTTGCAATCTGGTCATTGGATTAACTGGACAATCTATAGAATTTAAATGACTTTGATGTTCATATTCCCCTGAAATGTGTAAGCTATAATGGCTATTTTATATTTTATAAATATTTTAACACCTTTTTAAAGTGGCTTTTGGATTCCAAGTTGTTAGGCAGGCTTGCTTGAGGAAAATCAGACTTGGGTTAAAGGTTTTCATAATTTTAAAAGTTGTATGCTGTCTGATTCTTAGTTCCGAAGAGTGACAGTGGTGCTAAGAAGGGGTTAGTCCACTGACTCTGGTTCTAGGACATCTAGTGACATTACTTACCAATTCCTTGGCTCATGACAATTAACCTATCCATGCGTGCTTAGTTAGCTCATTTCCTAATTAAACTAAGGGCTAGCTTGCTGCTGACATTTTTCTTGAGTCTAAGTCAGGAAATTTGAGCCATGTAAAGTATACCCATGCCCATCTAGTCTCCAATGTTATTTCCAAGAAATATTTTATAATATACCAGTTTAATTGAGTTTAATCTGCTGACATGATGGGATCATACACTATTAGGAATTTAGCTTAGATTAATGTCATGACCATCAACACATCTGAAAATCAGAGCAGCATGACCTGCTATTGTGCTAAGAGATGACATAGCAAGTTGAAAAAGAAGGAGCTTAGTAAACATCACTCACTTCCATTGTTCATAAACAGAAAGTGTAGAAGCCTAAGCATTAGCTATAAATAAGATTCTTATGGTAACATTCACAAAGGAAGTCTCCATACATATTATGTGTTAGAAAATATCTTTAATAATGAGATATATTAGATAAGTCACTGAGTACACAGAGCAGAAAAGGAGAAATAAAGGAGAACAAGAAGAAAAAAACATGAATTTCTAAATATTGGCAGCCTTCATTATCTCCTTTTCTGAGAGAATCATTGAGTAAAACTGTAATAAATGTTACGTTGATTTTAAACTACTACAGCACTTAGCAAGTTTCCTAAAACTGCTAGCATACTTTATCCCTCGGAGTGTAATTGGTGGTAATGTAGATATGAAGCATGAAAAATTCATTTAGCACTAATGTATTTGGAAAAAAATCTCAAGAAAACTGTTCTACTTTGCAGGTAAAAAATTTTTAGTTTTAACCTTTACAATTTAAAGAGAAAAAAACATTATTTTTCTTTCAACTTGCTTTCGTCACCTTAAGTGAGAATTCATATCACTATACACACATACACACGCATACACACACACACCCCTAGTCTGTTTTTTTTTTTTTGCCTTTAGAATTCCATGTGGAAAAAAATGGTTTGCACCCTTAATTACAAGTACGAAGTCTTTTATTCCTCTAGTCAGGCTTAATGTTTCCCCAAAGACACATCGGCTACAAAATCAGCTTTGCACCAAGTCATTAAGTCACTGCTGTGCTAAGTAAGGGCTTTTGAAAGGGATGGTGCTTTGGTCCTTTTCTAGTGTTCACAGATTCTCTCACAGTTATTGAGTCTTGGGAATTTAAAGTCTAGCAGGAGACCCAAGGAATCAACAAATCAGGCAGTGAGTATATGATAATGTCCA